GTAAGAAATAAATGCATGTTGTTTTAAGTTGCTGAGATTTTAGGATTGTTTGTTATTGCGGCAAGGCCAATTGATAAAACCAATTAAATAGATTAAGTCATTTGGACTTATATAGCATAAGAGATTAAATAGTATTATTTAATGACTCCTATATAAACCACTTACTAGGAAAGGTGAAGCATACAAAGATGATTAGAATATAGCAATATCCTCCAAGGAACTTGAAGTTTAACTAAGAAATAAGTAATACCTAAGTAGAATCCAAATCTGAATAAATTACGTGCTATATTATTAAAGAAACTAAATAAGGAGAACACATTAATGCCAATTTGGGAATGATCTTAAAAACTGGTTTGAGAGTAAAATGAATAAGTTAATTTTCAATCCAGATTGATTGTCTAAGGATTAATATTGGATAGAATGATCTCAGAATCTCAGGGCTGGAATTCAATATGCAGCAGCAATGTCACTGCTTCTTTAAAGAGAACACATTACTGCACCAGAGGATACAGAGCTCCTGTTTGTTCACTGCTTTGTATTTGGAAGATGCGTTCTGAATAGCTTGCCTGCATCCACACAGCACTCCTCTGATGTAGGTAATATCATCCTACGTAGTAGAGTGTAAAAGTGAAGTCCAGCTTAATCGATGATCAACTGCCAGTAGCTGGCAAAGCCAGAGTTAAGTTTGTTCAATATCAAAGTTCACTCTCAGAGTAACCAATAACCACAGTATATTACACTATAGAGCATTAGAGAATGTCGACTGCCTAAGGGAATCGTAATATATATATTTCATTGCCCTTGGTTCAACTTTGACCTCCATCAAAACAAGGGTCTGCAGAACAGAGACTTTGGGTACTCTGCACCTACCTGCTCTTGTATGTCTTTTTCCCTGATCCTGATAACTCTTGCTCCTCTAACCATAGAATCTGCCTATATAATATGGTTCTAATTTACTGCAGCATTGCTCTCAGAATCTTCTAAACAAATGCCAGGTCAAATTTATTTCTTTGATCATTTCTTTATAAGCCATATTAAATTACTTTTGGAAATAGGATAAAACTAGATAGATGGATGGTAGATAGATGATAGATAGACAAATAAAAAGAAAATTTCTAATGATTGAGAGATTATATGAAAGTGGGCTGGTATCAAATTTTTTATTGTAACTACCTCCTGTACATATTTATCATGTCATTGTTGGTTTCATAACTGAAGACTGATGTTGGCAAATGACAGTAAATTATGACTTGTTTAATAGCAATGACTTGGTTTTTATCATCTTAACATATTTTATCACTCATGCAAAAGATTATCTACTACACATAATAAGGTTGGTTATGCAAAGACAAATAAGATATAGAGACTGTGCGTACAAAGTAGCTGGAGAGCTATGTCTACAACAACAGCTCAATGCATCATGTCAAAACAGATATACAATGAAGCTAAAAGAGAAAAGAGATTCTTTCCTTATATAGGTGACTTCCTGTGTCTATGCAAATATTATTGTCATGATTTTGTATTCTCTTTCTTGAAAGAGAGCCTCAAAATTGTTTAAGTTCCAGGCACATCTGAACCTAGGATATAATCCCCAATAGAAATTTGTTACATTGAAATTGATAGAAATGGAAATTAGTACAATCCTTATGGAAAACTAATTGACATTATCTACTAAAAATGAATGTACACATGGCCTTTGACTCAGGATTTTTGCTCCTAATATAACATAAATGGGTATAATTTTTTATCATGAACAAGTACAACAATGTACATAGAAACACTATTCATAATAATCTAATTGGAAATAACAAAAATTTCCTCCAAGCATAAAATGGACAATTAAATGATAGCCTATTTACAGCAATGGTATTAAAAAACTACAAGTATATATAGAAACATGTATAAATGTTTCAAACATAACATTGAGCTAATTAAACATATTTAATTTATTTATTATGTTAACTATTGGTGGGCATATAACATAGATTTAAAAAAATCACAGATACAAAAGAATACCTAGTCTGTGCTTCTATTCATATAAAGTTTAAAAATAGACAAACTTAATCTGTTGTCTTGGAAGTCAGGATGATTAGATGGGGAATGAGAGGCTTATTGGATGCAGGTAAAGCTGTATCTTAACTAGTTTCTAGAAACATGGATGTGTTCATTTTGTGAAAATGTATGGAGCTGCATCTTTAGGATTAGTGATTTTTTTTCCTCTATATTATATGTACATCAAGAGTTAACATGATAAATACATTATATGAATTTTGAGTAATGCTATCAAACTTATTGCAGAGAAATCAGAGAAAAGGGCTGATAGAATAAGATATGGAAGGAAATGCAAAAAAAAGATACTTCAGGTGGATTTTACAATATATAAAAAGCTGTTACATGTGTGCACTATGATAGAAGCAGAGAAGCAGGTGGGAGTGTGTTTTAACAACATAGAACAATAGTCATTAGCTATAGGAATATATTTCTGCAGCATACTGTGGCATTTTTCTAAGATCTTTAAAAAATTGACACATCAGCAGCACTAAAAAAGGCTTAGAGATGTGCTATTGAGAACACTGCACCCCAACTGCCTTGAGCATGCTTAGCCCTTTCTAATCTTTGACACTAAGCGAAGCTGGGTTGGGTAGCACTCTGATGAGATGCTTAAATTACAGTAATAACACAGTTTACTTTACAAAATCCCCTCAATTCTGAAATGTTCCTTTCTATAGCAGGGGGTTTCTTGTTTACAAAGAAAGACTTTCTTAAACTGAGTCCTAGACCATAGAATTAAGGCAAACAGAAAATAACTGATAAGACTGCAAATTATATGAATTAAGTTCATACTTCAGCAACATGGATTGGGAAATTGAATGGGACCATGCAAAGTGATCTATATCTCTCAGAATGTAAGTTTGCCAACTCATGGAAGACCTAGAGCCTCCAACTTCTACATATTTGCACATGTCACATAAGTTTTCAGACCTTTAAGACTAATAGATGATCTCTGGAAACTCTCCTTTATAACTAAGAGGCTACAACTCAAGAGATTGTGTTTTTATTGTCCCTTGAAGGATGCTCTGTCTCTTTCTTCCTCCAATCCTCAATAAATTCAGGGATTAGTACAAGAAGAGAAAAGAAATACTAATGAAGTATACTTCTCACAGGATAGGGATAGAAAATATGCCATGTGCCTGTGATGTACTCAGGGACACATTATTTAAACCTCAAACTAAATAATTTAACATGCAAGTGAAGTGAGAAACAGTCTTAGTATATTCATGAGAGTCACACAGAAAATGAGGAACAATGCTAGGATTTTGTTACCAGCTTTGTCAAAAAAAAAAAAAGAAAAAGAAAGAAAGCCATTTCTATTTTCACTACTCCACACTGCCACCCAAAGGAAGTTCCATCACCACGTGATACTGAAAACCATGTTTCCAGGAACAGAAAATTAAATTAGGACCCACCTAAAACTGCCAAAAGGAGTGCAACAAATCATTCACTTAGCAAAAAGGTGTATGAGCCTTCGAATCAAAGAAAAGAATGTATTTATGACAGAATATCAATACTCACAAAATATGTAGCTATTATTATCTGATTCAGAAATTCATTTGAACATGAGTCATATTCTTTTGATTAACAGTATATATCTTGGATGAGATCAAATTCTTAGTTTTTATGATTTTCTTTAAAGAAAGCATATATGAGCTTCAACTCCTATGTATTTTTAAAGTAGAAATGAGTCCTCTTTTGCAAACCACAACAACCAGGCTCAACATCTAAGAAGTCACTCCCAAGTCGCAGAAATGCTATGCAAAAGCATTAGGTACCCAAGTCAAGGCTGAGTTTCTGCCTTCCACAAAGCTATTACTTAAAGATCCCGTATGATTCAGCCTGCAGAATTTAGGTCAGTGCTGCTATTTTCTAGCCACCTCCTCCTGCTGGACTGACATAGTACTCAAAACAGATCTGTCTTTTTATTTAGGCTTAAAAAGACTAAGTATATAGTAACAAATCAGGATCTGAGAGGGAAAGTAATACAAAACTGTTCCTTTTAGAAAAATTGCAGAGATTAGTTAAACTAGGGTGGTTGAATAGCATTCTCTCTGATTTGTTACTAGTGAAATGTGTGTGCATGTGTGTGTATGTGTGTGTCATAATACCTAAGCAGAGATTCCAGACAATGATGGAAGGAATGAAATGATGCTAACAGCTACCTTGTATTGGGTACCTACTCCATGATGAACATGAGTTTTCGATCAGTTAAATTTGTGCATAAAGATTAACTGTTCCTGTAAACTCTATGGCTATGAGTAATTTTCTGAATTTCTTTGAGATTTAATATACTCTTTAACACAGGCATAGTAATGCCCTTCTTGGGTGGTTACTGGCAGATAAGGGGGATAATGCTTACAGATAATGCTTGTGTGACCATGTGTGGTATGTAGTAGGAGCTCACTTTATGCTAATTGCTTACCTCTTCCTTGGTCCTATTCTTATTCTGTGATGATAATTTGCATTACTTTTGTTTACCTGCTGGACTATAAGTTTTCTGATAAAAAGACGGTGTTTCTTTTTATTTTATTTTATTTTATTTCATTTTTCTTCTTCACCAGCTTGTAAAGTGCCTGGTATATATTTATTTAAAGGAAGTGGCAAAGTCTTCTGATTTGATCGCTGCTACTAAAGAACATTCACAAGGTGACAATGTGCTCCTAGCAGACACAATTTAAAGTTTTATCAAGTACACTAGAAAGCATGAACATGAAGAATACTTCATCAGTATCTCTTTTCTCAGATATATTGTCCGATTAACATGAAGAGATGTTTGTAAAATGCTTATCTTGGTGTCTGGTGCATCATAAGCCCTTAATAAATGAATCAGTTTTTCTCCATCTCAGAAGGAGGCTGCATGCCCACCTCTACATTGGTACTTTCACTTATATTTTTGTGCGTGACATAAACACTGCTCCCTCTTTCTAGAGCAAACCTTATCCTACCTTCTCAAAGAGGCCTTGTGATAAGTTGCGTCTTCAACTGAAATTCCACGACATGTCTCTACTGTGCGGGCTGAGGCGTTTCTGTGACAAAAGGTTGACACGTGGCTCCCTGTCCCAGTCTGCTTGCCTTATAAGTCTAGATAAGTCCCTTTGTCTCCATGCATCCTAATCAAGTCCTTCCTGCCTTTCCATGCACTCTAAAATTGTATAAATCTTAGGGTGCTTATGTTTCTCATTATTGTTCCATATGTGCTAATTTTGTTTCTTGATTATCTGCCTCTCAAATGTCAGCCTTTGGGTCATATTTACTTGACTGTGTCCTTCACAGTGCCAGGCTGATTGACACTTAGAAAGTGCTGCTGATTATTACTGTAGTCTTGTAGTATAGCTTGAAGTCTGGTAAATTGATGCCTCCTAATTTGTTCTTTTGGCTTCAGAATACTTTTTCTATTGGGGATCTTCTCTGGTTCCATATGAAGCATGGAATTATTTTTTCTAGATCTGCAAAAAAATGATGTTGGTATTTTAATAGGGATTACATTGAATCTGAAGAGCACTTTGGGTGGTATAGACATTTTAACAATGTTGATTCTGCCAACCCATAAGCATAGTATAAATTTCTACCTGTTTACATCCTCCACTATTTTCTTCCTCAGTGTTTCATAGTTCTCTCTGCAGAGTTTGTTCACCTCATTAGTTAAATATATTCCTAGGTATTTTATTTCCTTGTTACTATTGTGAAGGGTATTGAGTCTTTGATTTGGTTCTCAATGTGACTATTGTTGGCATATAGGAAAGGTACTGATTTCTGTACACTGATTTTGTAACCTGAGACTTTGCTGACTTTGTTTATGAATTCCACTAGTCTCATGGCAGAACAGAGAAATAGACCAATGAAACATAACTGAGAACCCAGATATAAAACCATTCTCATATAGCCATGTAATCTTTCAAAAAGCAGACAAAAACATACACTAGGAAAAATAATCCTTATTCAATAAATGGTACTGAGAAAACATGGTGGCAACATGTAGAAGACTAAAACAGGATCTACACTTCTCACCTCTCACAAATGTCAACTCACACTGGTTAACAGAATTAAGCCTGAAGTGTGAAACTATAAGAATTCTAGAAGAAAATATTGGAAAAACTCTAATAGACCTTTTCCTAGGGAAAGAATTTATGAAGAAGACCCCAAAGGCAATCACAGCAATGACAAAAATAAATAAATGGGACTTGATCAAATTAAAACGCTTCTGCACAGCCAAGGAAACCATAACAAGAGTAAACAGACAACCTACAGAATGGGAGAAAATCTTTGCATGCTACACACCTGATAAAGGGCTCATAACTAGAATCTATATAGAACTCAGGAAAATCAGCAAGAAAAAAATCAAACAACCCTATCAAAAAAATGGGCAAAGGACATGAACAGAAACTTTTCAAAAGAAGACAGACTAATGGCCAATGAACATATGAAAAAATGCTCAACATATCTAACTATCAAAGAAATGCAAATCAAAACCACAATGAGATATCACTTATCTCCAGTGAGAATGGCCTTTATCAAAAAGTCCCAAAACAGTAAATGTTGGATCCATGAGGAGAGATAGAAACACTCATACACTGCTGGTGGAACTACAAACTAGTACAACCTCTGTGGAAAATAATATGAAGATACCTCAAAGAGCTACAAGTAGAACTACCATTTGATTCAGCAATCCCATTATTGAGCATCTACCCAAAGGAAAAAAAGATATTCTATAAAAAAGACATCTGCACTCGAAGGTTTATAGCAGCACAATTCACAATTGCAAAGATATGGAAACAACCCAAGGAAGTGCCCATCAATACATGAGTGGATTCATAAAATGGAGTATATATATACCATGGAGTTCTACTCAGCCACAAAAAAACAATGGTGATCTAGCACCTCTTGTATTATCCTGGATAGAGCTGGAGGCCATTCTACTAAGTGAAGTATCACAAGAATGGAAAAGCAGCACCAACCACATGTACTCACCATCAAATTGGTATTAACTGATTAACACTTCTGTTCCCATTTAATAGTAACATTCAATGGGTGTAGGGCAGGCGGGAAGGGGAAAGGAGGAGATGGGTATATACACACCTAATTGGTGCGGTCACCATCTGGGGGATGGACACGCTTGAAGCAAAGGCAATGTACGTAACCTAAACATTTGTACTCCCGTAATATAATATCAATAAATAAATGGAAAAAAAAAAAAAAAAAAAGTGCTTCTGGTTGACTCAAGGGGGAAGAGCAGCTCCAACCAGGCCTGTCTTGGTGAGAAGTACGTTACCTAAACTGGTGGATTGTGACACCCAGAGAAACTCAGGGTGGAGAATGAAGAGCAGCCCTTTAGAGTCTTCACTCTGGGACTTTTAAGGAAAATAATAAGGTGATGTCTTCTGAGACATTTAGAAACTAGACCCCACAGACAAGCTCTGCCTCTGCATTCCGCCAGTTTCGTGACCTTGCTCAAGTCATGTCACTCCCCGAAAGCCCAGTTTCTACATACATAAAATGGCATAATAATATGTGTTTTTGTATGACAAAGATATAAAAGAAAATATACAGAAAACATACCCAAGAATTTTAAATCACAATGTAAATCTAAGCATTTATATCACTAAAGGGCTGCAACTTCACTAATGATGAAGATGTTAATGTTCCAAGATAGAAATTGACTTTGCAGCCAACGCACTTAATAAAACATGTATATTATATCATAAATATTTTAGGGGGAAAATAATTCACCATACTAGTTTAAGAAAAAAAAACACTGTAACATGCTTAATAGTTTGCAGCTGACATTGTGAAATTGGAATTCCATGTTAGCTAACGGTAATTATGGGACAACTAACCCAATTAACTGTGTTATACATTTTCATGCTTGAGAGAAAGTCACAAGGACATTATTTATTTCCCTTCAAAGTGAAGGTTTCTTGGTAAGTGAGTACACACACATACACATGAGAATGTGCACACACACATGCACATACACACAGAAAACTAAAACAAACAACTTCAGCATTATAGACTTTGCAACATTGGAGATAAGAATGTGGCAAAAGTCCACAGATGCAGCCTTTATATTTCTGTGGGTAATGAAAGCCCAGGCGTTGGAAAACACAATCACAATTAAGAAAGACCTAGACATAAGATGTCTCAGTAATGCTGATGGCAGGGTGTGGGGGCCAAGATTGAATGAAATTTGAATTCTGAAAACTGACCCTGCTGCAAACAGTAGCTGAACATCACTTACCAGGTGAAAAGCCCAGCTGAAGTGGCGGTTATTGTTAATCTTTATGGAGAGGAAGTATAATCCAGTAAGCAGAGCATGTCCCGAATCTTCTAGGCCTAAATTCAGGCACAAGGATGGTTCCAGGTGGTCAGTCCATTTACAAAAATTCTCTTCAACAAATATTTATTGCATGTTTACAATGGATAAAGTGGTGAGGAAAAACAGACATATCCTTGCTGTCATGGAGATTACAGTCCAGTAGGAGAGATAAACATTAATCACATAACCACACAAATATGTATATAAATTAAAATGGGGTAATTATTATAGAAAGAAGTGAAAGAATTCCATGATAATATATAGTAAAGAAACCAGATCTTGTGCATTGGGCGGGGTTGGAGGGGCCAGTGCGGGGCATCAGGAAGACTTCCTTGAGAAAGGAATTTCTTTCAATTAGTGAGGGTGAAAAAAGGACAAATGCTATTACAAACAGCCTTAAATATTAGTGTCTAAACTTACCTAAAGCCAAGATATCCCTCATTGAGGAGCATCATTCTTGGGCAGCAAACCTCCAAACGGCATCTCAGGCAGCCAGGCTCTTTGGCTAATAGCTCTGCCACCTTCTGTATGCAGAACCCACAAAAAGGAAAAGAAGAGGAAAAAGAAAGAGCACATAAACTCTGAGTTGCCTCAGCCCATAGTGGCACACAACTTCCGCTCACGTTCTACTGGGGAGAACCAATTACCTAATCCCACCCTAAATGCAGAGAGATGGGGAAATGAATTTAAACTATGTACCTGGGAAGAGAGACAGATTTAATGAGCACTTTTCTAGCTCTGTGCCACATATCTGAAGGATTAGTAGGAATTAGCTAATTATCTCCAATTTGATTGTTTGGAAGTGGGGAGTTAGAGGAAAGCATTCCAAATACAGCATATGCAAAGTCCTATGGCAGAAGGAAATACAAAGTGTTAAAAAAAAAAAGGTTACTGTGTTTGAAACACAAATAAAGGATGTGAGTGATGAGACATGAGTCAAGGCCAGCAAGGCAGGTCCAGGTCATTCAAGGCCTCATAGGCCACGATGAAAGTCATGTATGTTATTCTAACTGCAGTAGAAAGTCATTGGAAGGAAGGTTGTGAGGAAGGGAATGAGAAAAATATTGATAGACTTGTGCTCACTACTCTGGCTATATTGTAGCTGATTGGATGGGTCCAAGATTATAAATGGAGAGTCCAACAAAGAGGCTATTACACTGGTCCAGGATAGAGGCTTGTAGTTTCAACCAGGCTAGTGGCAGTGGAGTTGGAGAGAAGTCGATAGATTCAATAGAAATTGACAAATGGCCACCAGCAAATGGTTATCATTTACAAAGGAGAAGTTCCAGTTCCCAAGTAGAGGAACTCGCAAAAGGGTAAGTGAAGATCATGGTCCCAGTCAATCAAATTAAAGTTCCAATTAAATTTCCAAGATTCCCTCAGCAGACCTAGTGTAAAAGTTAAAGTTAAGCAGAGAAAGCAAAACAGAAGCCCATAGAATGGACCAACCTGGTGGACAGAAAGAATAGGTCTGTGACAACTATGAGGTTACATGGACATCTATGGGCCATGTCTGGCTCACACAAAATCTGAACTTTTTGCAGGAAAACCTAATCACATTTTTTTCTAAGTGGTTGGGTTGAGCCTATTAATAAGTAATCTATGAGCTCTTCCAGGGCATGGACCTCACCTTTTTTATCCTTTTGTCTTCAAAACCTATCTTTCTTAACATATAATGTGCACTCATTATGGGTTTATTAAATGATATGCTCCATATCTCTACTTAATAAAAAAAGATCTGTGCAAGAAGGACATTGGAAAATTCAGATAGAACTCAGTTCAAGTTTAAATGTGTTTTAACCATATTACCTTGGGTAAGTTATGGTGAGACCAGACTCAAATCAAGAGAAGAAAGCAGAGTACACAGTTTTGTTACTTACAGCTCTTTAGGGAGAAACAGCACACGATGCAGGACAACTTGAGGGGGGCAGAGAGAGAAAGGAGAACTGTGTGCAAGTGCCTTTATCATGATTTCCATAGCAAAGAATAAGCAAACAGGGCAAGTGGGCTTAGGGTTGGTTAGCTACATCTGAAAATGGTGCTTCCATGAAATTCATGTTTATTGTGACTGTTAGAGGATGTGGTTTGGGCCATCTAGTCCTTAGGTGATGTGGAATGAGCTGGGGTTTCTTTGAGAAGAAAAGCTAGTAATAATTTTGAAGATTTTGTAGTATTAATTTACAGGAACTAAAAGATTGGTTAATACAAAGTGATGGGGAACCCTGGACTCATCTCTCCAATGCTGGAGATATTTCACTCAGCTCCAGACTCATGTATTCACATTTCTTCAAGGCTATATTACAGACATTGAAAAAAATGAAATGTAAAATGACTCTTGGTTTCCACCCACCCATCTCAATCTATTCCTTTCCTATTCTATTCCATGTCAGTATATAACATCCTCATACACCTCTTCTGTAAGCCTAAAACCTAAGTATCAGCTTTGATTCCTCCTTTTTCATCGCCCATCATAGCTACAAAATCCATTAGTAAGTGGTATAAGTTCTACCTTAAAATACATCTCCTATTTATTCCCAGGTTCTTCACCACTATCACTCAACTTCCTAGACCTGGTCTAAGCCACATCACTTCTTTGCCTCAGATTTCATATGAAATTAAATACAAACCTTCCAATATGATACATAAACCCCTACAAACTCTGGTCCTTGCCTACTTCTCCAGCTTCATTATCCTCACTAGCTAGGATGCACCAGCCTCTCTAGCCTTTTTCTGTGCCTTGAACATTCAGTCTCTCTCCATTGGCAGGGCTTTTGCACTGGCTATACTCTTTGACTGGAAATGCTTTTTTTCCCCCTCACTCATCATATGGCTTGATATTTCCATTGCTTTACTCACAACTCATATGTAATTCCATCAGAGAGGCTCCTTGTAACTAAGCTATCAATGATAAACCTCACTCCATAGTCACCACTACATTTGTCTGTCTTAGTATGAGATATTCTCACTAAAGAGAGCCTGAGATTTGCATGTAGGTAGTTTATTCCAGAATTGTAAGAAAGCAAGCAAGAAAGCAAGAAAAAAAAAAAGAAAGAAAGAAAGAAAGAAAATAAAGAAGGAAAGGAAAGGAAAGGAAAATGGAGTAAGGGTACAGGAGAGAAAATAGGGAAAGAGAAAAAGCAATAGAAGGTGTTTTATTGCATCTAGGGCATATGGGACTCAATTCCTCTGGTGATCCCCTGAGACACAATCTAGAATGAGTCTCAGAATTTTCCCTCTGAAGGAAAAGCGCTGAACATTTACCCACAAACTCCAGTCCACCAATGGTTGAAGATTGTTTATGAGTGTTAATACCCATGTTTTTCCTGTCTCACTGGTTAGAGACAACCAGATTTTAAAGAAATCCCTGAGGAAGAAGACAAAGAAACAAAGAAGACATATTAAGGGAAGGCTGGCATCATATATGAAAATTGTCCATCGCACCTGAAGCTGAGTTCAGAGCTGAGGGAAAGGCTACATAAAGCACAAAAATTGTTGACTACGCTATCACTAACTATGGTTACTTAAATCGTCTTTTTCTTGTAAGTCATAGGAAGTGTGGAAAATATAAAGGAGGTTAGTGGCATGATCTGATTTTTTTTTTAATTATTGGATCTCAAGGGCATTGATTTGGATTAATCATAATTTTGGTTCATAACATAATCTTGACATGGTTTCATGTATGACCCACTTTGATCTAGTTATTCAATTACCTATGTGTAATAATTTTATAAGTAACCATAAAACCACCATCCCCCAAAAAGGTTAAGACCTTGACCTAATCATAGACTCCACCACCAGTTTGTGTCTCATGCTGTCAACTCAAACACTGAGGCATCCACCGTCATGAATCAAATATTTTTCACTACTCAATGTTCCTTATTTTTATCTCTATATATTCCTAAAATGTATGTATATTTTTTATGTTTGTCATTTGTACCTTTATAGTAATTATTGCATGGTTGAAATATTTACAAGCTTGTATCTTAATATTAGGTTGTTAAAAGACATCCTTGTCAATATAAATTATTTGTTCTGATAGCTATTCAGTATTCCATGTGTGATTATGATATCTGTTTTCCCTTTGAGGGTTATTTGGTAGTTTAGAGTGTTTTAATGATGTGCACAGTTCTACAGAACACATCCTTTTATTCCTACCTTTTATCCATTATGTACAAGAGGTCCTCCTGAGTGTATACCTTGGACTGAAACTGCTGAGTCACAATATGTGATTTCCAATTTGGAGGGGTAATTCAAACTATTTTCCAATGTGTTTGCACCAGTTTACACTGGTAACAGCAATGTGTGAGAAATCCTGTAGATCCATACCTTCTCCAACTCTTAAGTTATCTGTAGATGAGTAAAATTCTTGATTTTTTAAAAATAAGTTTCATCAATGCTTTTTAATCTTGTTTCAGACCTGTTTTTATCTGACATGTTAAAGTATGTTCACCTATATATTCTAACATTTTTAAAATTTCATATGTGACATTTATGTCCTATGTTCATCTGGATTTTATCTTTATAAATAGTGGATGGAGGAGATCTAACTTTATCTTTTTTCATATTTATTACCTCTTTTGTCAGTTTCCTTTGACAAACAGTTCTTTCTTTCTACACTAATTTTTTCATGCCATCTCTCTCTTATACAAAAGTTATGTAACATGTGCATCTGAATCTACACTTTCTGTTCCTTTGGTCACTTTTTCTATCCCTCAGCCAATATCATATGTTGCTCAGATAACTTCATAATAAATACTGATATCTGAGATGTTGAGTTTTCTGTCTCTGCTTTTCTTCTTCAGAAATGCCCTAGGTAGTCTTAATCTTAATTCTCCATATAAAGTTTAGTATTATCAAGTTTAATGGAAAACACAGTTGAGATTTGATTAGATCCATTCTATAAATCAATTTGGAAAAAGCTAGCATCTTTATGATATTAAGTCTTCCATTTTATGAACATAGTCTATCTTTCCATTTATTTAGGTGTCTTGTAATATTTCTTTTAAAAGTTATGTGATTTCCTATAGAAATATCCTAAACATCATTTGTTAAATGTATCCCTATGTACTTGATATTCAAGAAATATGTTCATATATCCTTATACTACATGTACTTTTTATTCCGTGGCAATATCAACCTCTTTTTCTTTTCCTTTGGAGGTTTCTATAAGGCTATATTTTCCTCAGGTATTTGATCACTTTTATTTCATATGTCTTCATATGTCCTAAATTATTTCTTCTTCTCTTTTTAACAAATGTATTATAAAATGTTTTCAATATAAGTCTCTGTCTAGCAAAACTTCTGAGACTTTGTATGCCTAAAATATTTTATTATGCCCTTATATTCTAAGTTTTAATTTTCTTACATTCAATAACTTATGTAGGTATGTGTAGAGGCCATTCCATTATATTCCTACATAAAGTGTCACCTTAAAAAATTCTAAACTAATATATCTATGTTAATTATAATGAGCTCAGAGAATAGGAGTGAGAGGTCATCAATGAGCTTTGGGGTGTGGAGACCTGGAGACCAGAAAACCACAATCAATCACTCCCCACCTCATAAATATTTCCTCAGGTCAAACCTTTACTCTTTGTCCTTCAGGAAGAAATATTAGGAAGAGGTGCTGTTTAAATTGTATTTCTCCAGTCTTAAGAATTTAGAAAGGTAGAGTTTGAGAAGAAATTACAGATCAAAACTATTTGCCACACTTTTTCTCAGCTTCTAATGAGCACAGGGCTCTAAGCTACCCTGATTTTACTCTTGGGAACAGCTGGATAGGAGGCCTGAGTCAGCAGGTTTGGAGGTAGACATTGTTTATTTTAAGGGGAAATGAGGGAGGGAAAGATGGAGAGAAACAAAAGTAGAATTCCATCATTTCCCCTCCCCTAGCCATGTCTGACTGTTCCAGGTCAAAGGCACTGCCGCTCTCTCCATCTACCTACCCTACCACAGATATACACCAGTTCACAACATCATCTCTCCTCTCAATCCCAATTGCTTTCATTTTTAAGCAGTTTTCTCCATTGTTTCCTCTTAGCTCTTCTATAGTTGGTGTGGATTTAGCGTATTCATTGTCCCTGGAATCACAATGATATGATTTGATATTTTAAATACTTACCTTGACCCCTGTGTGGAAAATTGATTGTGACCTGACAGCTGAGAGAAGATGGCAGCTGGTCCAGGGTGGTAGCCATGGAGATAGAGAAGTGTGAGTGATACATTTCAGAACTTACTGCATTGTTCCAAGCAAGTCATGGTGGGAACTATGAAACCGCTAAACCAAACACTGTAATGTGTCGATCAGTGCTGGGTTACAGTGTTTCTTAAGAGGATGACAGAAACGAAACCTCTGAAGAAGTTGGCAGTTGAACTGAGACTTGAATGTGAGGAGGTATCACCCATACAGGGATCTGGAGAAAGCAAATTCCAAGAAGAAGGAATGGTGAATGTGAAGTACCTGGAGAAAGAGTGAGAGTATTTTTGATTAAGATGGTCATTTATGAAATTGTAAAAGAAAATGTAGACTCAAGATATATTTGGAACATAGCACCAGTGTGACTTACTGATGGATTTAAACTGAGGAAAAAGAGAAAGGGGAAAATTTTTAATGACTTTATACTTTTGTTCTAAGTAGCACTTATTTACTGGAAATTTTCGTGCTTATTCATATATTTACTCATGTACTATTTATTTGCTTGTTTATTATTTATTCTCTCTCTCTCTCTTTTTTTTTTTTGAGAAAAATGGAAACTCTTTACAAATAAGTCCTTGCTGGGATTTTCACTATTATGCCTTTGGCACCCAGAAGGGTATCTGAAACACAGAAAGAGTTTAACCATATTTGTTGACTGAATGAATGATGCAACCACCTGGATATCTTCCCATATAACACAAATAAGACTGATTCTGCCCTCATAGCACACTTTCTAACTATCTAATGTCACATTTGCCAAATTATATTGATATCATCTGTTACTATTAAATATAGCCCTCACCAGATTATAAAATTATTGATGATATGGTCAATACGTTTAGTCACTCTTATCTCCCTAGCACCTATTCATTGATTCATTTATTTAATAAATATTTCTTGGGCACCTAGTGTGTGCCAGGCAATTCTCATGGACATGTAACAGTGAAGAAGCCTAGTTATAACTGCCTGGGAGCAAATTATATTTTCAGATGGGAGAAGGCAAAGCCATATAAAATAAGCAGATAATTATAATAGCCACAATAAGGATAAGTGTTTCACCTCACCCATGTCACTTACAGAGCACTCACTACAAGTTTTTGAAACTGTTTAAACTTGAAAGGACAGGGAAAGAGAGCAATTGGCAGAAGCTATGCAGGATATTTAATGAATCTTGCTCCAATATCCAGAATGGTCATCAATCAACCAGTTAAAGAGGGAGATAAGATAGTTGAGAACTAGAAGTAAGATTTTCTAAAAACCAAGGGTAAAATAAAAGATAAATAAAAAGTTTATTTAAAAATATAATAGAAGGTGATCCTTTAGGTGGACCAAGCAAGGGTCAAAGTGTAAAAAGGTGAGAAAAACAACCTATCCAGAGACTTGGCCATCAAAATTAGATAAAGATGTAAGTCAAATAATAAAGTCTAGATAGGAAACAAGGTTAGATACTCTGAACCTGGAGGAGATAACTCAAGAAGACATGAAAAATAAATACATTAGAACATAAAGGCAAATAGAACAATAGATGTGAGGCTAGCAGCAATGTTAATAGGCAATATACATCTGTTGTGTTGAAAATTCTTATATGCTTTCACTGACTTTCTGAGAATGGCATCTTCAAAATATTGCTAAAGGACAAAGAGAAAGCAAGTAAAACATGGCTAATTGCCATAAAACAGCACATCAAGGCAAATTTTCAGTTTCTCATTGATTTTTCACAGAACTCTGATAACCAAAATCTTGTTAACACAGAAATCCTACCACCGAAATGCAATGACCATTATTAACACTATGCATTGGGAAAAGTTCACTGTCTGTGGACAATTATTTATGAGTTCAGCATTTTCCAGAAATCCTCTGCTCATTTCTAAAAGTAGAACATAGTTTTCTATTAAAAATAATTTACATCATAGTCACATAATTAAAATTAAAACTCAAATCTAAACAAGTTTAGAAAGTGAAAGCAACAAATTATTAGATCAGAAATTCTAGGCCAAGGGAAGCTATTGAAAATTAAATTCGGGTAGAATGGAGGAGCTACATGAAATGTAAAACTTATCCTAAGAAGAAAAGTTACAAAGTCAAAATTAACTTTGGAAATTTACTCAAACATTCCCAGATGACCAGAAATTTAATTTTTAGAAACTCAAAATCCAATATTTATTTTTCTTTTCCCTATCTCTTATTTCCTTTACTACCTTAGCTCAAAGACATTTTCTTCCACTCCATCTTAGCCTCTACTTACTTCAATATTATACAAACTCTGAAAGCTACTTCTCAGACATCTCCTTTCCAGCCACTTCTTCTAATGCTCCCAGCATTCTTGTTCCCACTTCCTTACTCAATGAAATTCTACAATACATTTTGCACTCATCATAGTAGAATAAATACTTATTCATGTATGCTCGACTATTGTATCCCATGAGTATGTGTATGGTTTGCCTAGGAATATAGAATTTGGGACATTCGGACACTATTAAGGGACACTATTAAGGTTGCCACTATGACCATTGCACATAAACTCGCCATGTGCCTATCTCTTTGAGCCTCATTATTTATTCCTAGGTATTTTCCATAGTTAACTTTACTCACTTTTTTGAATTTCTAACCATTCTAATTATTTCTTTTTCTTATAACTAGATATTCTTTTATCTCTCAGACATTCTCTCTATTTTTCCTGTTACCAGACAAATCATTAATGCAATTGACAATTTGAACAAATTTCACCAGACTCAAATAGGAGGAGGCAAGGTAGAGGTGTAATGAAGGAAGCATTTAAAACTAAGGAAATAAGTAGGAAGATGCACAGAAAGAAGTGTGGGATCTGTGGCACTTTAAAAAGAGCACAGAACCAGTTTTTGGCCATGTCCACCTTCTTTATGTAGGGATCTATGTTCTCTGATTCTATTGAGCGTTGAGCATTAAGTCACACAAATTCTTCTTATTTCATAAAATAGACTTTAGAACTAACTGATAATTATTGTTAGGAATGTGCTTCAATTTTACTCAATCCCAGGAAAGCAATTCAAATATTTGCCAACCTAACAATGCATCCTATTAGATGACGAAAGTGCCTACCTGCTTTCCATACTGCCTTTAAAATATCTTTAATGATTTAAGGAAAAGGGAATTAAGAAAATTGAAACATAAAACAAATGAGTTGGAGGGTAACTTGAGTAAAAAGAATTTTTATTGCGAATTCTGTAACTATCATTTTCCTTCAGTGCTATTTAGTTCTTTTCAGATCAGATAATAAATTGGCAAAAATCAAAGTTCTACTTAATTAGAGCTTTTTTCCCCACTGGTTTTCATTTCAGCTAAAGATTGAACATTTAATTACTTATTATACTTAATCACTGAGGTCTCAGTGAATCACCAAAGCTAATGTGGAAGTATGAAAACATAATCCAAGGAGTTATGAGTAACTTGGCTCTTTGCCCTCTCTCAATAGGTGATTTTGGAATCTACAGAGCAGAGATTGACTCACAAATCAATAATATTTTAAGTGTACTCTGCCACTGCTATTCAAGAAAGACTGTAACTCCTTAAGTAATTACTTAAACATCATTCATCAGAGAAATAAACCAACTCATTTCTTTTTTTTTTTTTTTTTTTTTTTTTTTTTTTTTTTTTTTTTTTTTTGAGACAGAGTCTCGCTTTGTTGCCCAGGCTAGAGTGAGTGCCGTGGCGTCAGCCTAGCTCACAGCAACCTCAAACTCCTGGGCTCGAGTGATCCTTCTGCCTCAGCCTCCCGGGTAGCTGGGACTACAGGCATGAGCCACCATGCCCGGCTAATTTTTTATATATATGTATCAGTTGGCCAATTAATTTCTTTCTATTGATAGTAGAGACGGGGTCTCGCTCTTGCTCAGGCTGGTTTTGAACTCCTGACCTCGAGCAATCCGCCCGCCTCGGCCTCCCAAGAGCTAGGATTACAGGCGTGAGCCACAGCGCCCGGCCCATTTCTTCCATAAGAGTACTCTCGCTACAAACTAGATAGCAAACTGTAAGCTGTTCATCTTCCTAAATAAATCGTGATATATTCTCAGATTGTTTTTCTCTAAGTTGCATACTTGGGGTCACTTTGCCAATGCCTCTGTCGGTGAGACAGTTCAGATCTACCAGTTCTCACTCTTGTTTCAGAAATCCCTCCTAGTCTATGTCATGCTAACTGCTCTTTTATAGCGTATATTCTTTGAACTATCTGATTTCCTAGCTGACATTCTTAGCTGTTTACCTCCAACAGCTATATATTTTCATTAATCATATGCTTAAACCACATTCTCATTTTTATTCAAGTGTCATTCTTTGTAAAATAAATCCTTATGTTTTGTATTTTGACTGTTAAAATTCATAATAAAAACAAATTGGGACAACAGAAGAGGAACAGAATAAACTTTTTTCTGTTAACTCTTCTCCCAACACATCTAACACAGCTGGATTTCGATAGTCTTTAAAGAAATGCTCCTGGATTTAAAAATCAACAAAAATAACAACAATGAAGTTTCAAACGTTTTAAAAATTATTTTAGAATGGGTACACAAGCAATATTTTTAAAAGGGTACAGCTTTTCTTGATACTATTACCAAATATCTTAGTAAACTGCTCTAAAGTCAGTTTGGAGTTGTTTTAAGATGGATATAAAGAATTACACATACTGAAAATATACTGGAGTGAACTTAAACTGTAAATCATTGATGTTATTAAATCCAACAGATTTTTTAAATTCCTAACATTGTCAATTGGTCTACAGGATTTCATATCTTCTCTCTGCTTTCTGTGAAAGAAGGCAAAGACTTAAAATATGTATTACAAACTAGGCCCCCATACATTGTATATAATCTAGAGACATATTTTGTTGGACCAGCTTAGTGATTATTTCAATAAATTACAAACAATTCTCTATCAAGAGATTTTGCATAAAAATATGAATTTTAAGTATCTTTTTCACAATCAGATTTGGACACGTTGGTTCTGCATTCTGTGTGACAACATTTGCGGGGTCCAAGGGCAAGTGTTCTCTTTAGAAAGGACAAGTACTGACCAGAACTCACCCTGCCCACACACGCTACACATTCACATACTTTACTTGCCTATAGGCATTTCCTATAGACATTGTGACCCTGTGAAAAGAAAGGCTTTCAGTCCACAACAGGATTATTTGCTGCACTTGGTCTACATTGAGATACTTGCTACTTTCCTTCTCTTTCAAGGCTGGCAGTGAGAGGGCTTTGGGCAGATTCTGCCCGCCTCTGATATACATGGAGAGATTAGG